GCCAGCAAAACAATCACAAGCCATGTGCTTGAACAAAACAAGACACGAACACGCAGCTAATGAGAAAACTCAAAAAGCGCCGCGTGTTCACACAAGACAATATAGCACGCAGCCAGCAAAAACCAAGCTGCGTGCTACACAGCACAAGACAAAGCAGGACATGAAAGCACGCAGACGGTAACACGAGCTGCGTGCAACAACAACACAAGACAACAAGAAAAGCACGCGGCTGAACACAAACCGCGTGCTACACAAAACACAACACACGTGGACAGAAGAGCGCACGGCCAAGCGAACTCGAGACCACACTCTCCCACAACCAGACAGAACATGGAGCGCGAGTGTCCGGACCCGAAACTCAACAAGACATGAGTGCCGGGATCTGAACACCACGATCCACCATGAAACAGGACATGCAGACGAGAGCGCACGGCTCGAGCACTCTCGAAGCCGCGCGCTCACATGAAAACAACGACATGACGGGAGTGTCAGGGCTCTGTCACAAAACCATGAATTACACTGGACTGAAGTGACAGAACCCTGACTAAAGGTGCTGTTGACATGGAATTTTCACCAGATGTCCGTAACAACCAAAGTAATCAATACATACAAATAAAACAAATAAGTTCAGAGATTAAGTTATGTGTAATAAAATGGAAAAGGGGACAAGTATTGAACTACTGAAATGTATTTAATACTTTGTACAAAAGGCTGTGTTGGTAATGACAGCTGTCTGGAGAAACTAGTGGCATGCATTGCTCAGGTGTGATTTTGGCCCGTTCTTCCACACAAACAGTCTTCAAATCTTGGAGGTTCTGTGGGCCTCTTCTATGAACTCTGACCTTTAGTTCTTATTTTCTATTGGATTCCAGTCAGGTGATTGGCTGGCCGTTCTAGCAGCTTTACTTTCTTTCTCTGAAACCAGTCGAGAGTTTCCTTGGCTGTGTTTGGGATCATTGTCTTGCTGAAATGTCCAGCCTTGTTTCATCTTCATCATCCTGGTTCTGTAGGTGTTGGGACTGAACCCGCTAATATTAATTTCCACTGACGAGGGGCAGGTGTGTTCTGGTGCTGGTGTTGTAATGTGATCAGTCACTGTGTCTTCCTTCTCTCCTCCAGTCGTCTTTCTGTTCGAGGCTCAGACGGGAAAAGCCATTGGTGACGGCAAACCTTTGAACCACAAGGTAAACACACATGTTGTCCAGTGTTGTTGTGTCTCCAGGTGTTTGTAGTTGTTCTGTCTCTGAATCAGCGGCCCAGGCCTACCCCTAACCTTGTGGACTGACTGATTCGTGTAAAAAAAGCATGCAGAGTACATGCAGTTAGAATAATCTGGCTGCTGGCGCACAGTATGTGCACACTGTGCTGATGTATGCATACCCTAGTGTACATGTTTAAACCAAACTATACCTTGGCTTTGTAAGGAAGCTGTCTATGCAGACAGCAGACAGACAGCATTGCAGCTCACAGGTGTTTGGATCAGAGCTGAACTGTCAACTACATTTTCTCCGGAAGTAACACAAAGGTTTAACTTTGTTGTAATGTTAATTTTCAGTTTCAGTAGTTTTATATGTTACAAGTAAGGCTGTCAACTGATTAATTACATGATGTGGCAATTAATTAATCACAAATTAACCACACATCAATTTAGACACATCAAATTACCCTTAAAAGATCATTTGAAGTACAACAGTACAAAAAAAGTACCTTTTGAAATTAAATATTTAAAATCAACATTGCATAAATTATGACAATGTTTTAATTTAGGTTTAATATCTATTTATTATAATTTCAAATATGAAATGATTTTCAAAAATGAAATGATTTTCTGAATATGAAACTAAAAGGTCTAGTAGTCAGTAAAAGTCTAAAAGGCAGTAAGTCATTGTCTTAAATGAGTGAGTCATTGAATCATTCATTCAACCAATTTGTTCTAACAGCTAATTCATTCAGACATGAAGCA